GCGTCCCCTCCTGCTCCGGGCTGGACGACAAGGCGGAGACGCCCGCCGGCCCGCGCCCCGGCCTCCTGGCCATGCCCCGCGAGAAGCCGGCGCGCAGGGTCAGCGACAGCTTCTTCCGGCCCAGCGTCATGGAGCCCATCCTGGGCCGCGCGCAGTACAACCAGCTGCGCAAGAAGAGCTGAGTCCCGGGCCGCCGCCCCGCCCGCCGCCACCTGGCTCCGCCCCCGCCCCGCCCACCAATCACCACGCCCCCGCCAAGCCCCGCCTCGGAGACGCGCTCCGGACCCTAGAGCCCGCCCCGCCCCACTTAGCTTCAACCACGCCCCCTTCCAGAGCCACGCCCCTTCCGGGGCCACGCCCCTTCCCCACGCCACGCCCCACGGTCCCGAGCAGCTTTCTTTAACCCGGACCCCAAACTTGCAAGTGAGCCCCACCCTAGAGAGGGCGCCCCGGGCGGCCTGAGCCCTTCTCCCCGCGGCCAGGGCGCGCGTCCTCCTGAGGCCTGGCCTGTTTATTGGAGAAAAGAGTCTCATGAACTTTCCTGCCCGGGCTGGCTTCGAACCCCTATCTTGAGATCTCAGCCGTCCTGGGAGCGCACACACACCCCATGGGGCAGCCGCTGCCCAGCCCGAGCTCTGGAAGTGCTGGTGCTGAGCGAGTCGAGGGAATGTATAAAATCAGTTTAAACCCGAGCGCGGCCCGAGTGTGCTTTCCTCGGGCGCCCCCGCCGGCGCTCGCGCGTCCTTCCCGTCCAAGCCTCCTCCTGGCGCGCAGGTGTGTGCGCGCGCGTCCGACGGGGCGGGTGGTCCGACCCGCTGCCCCGGGACAGAAGCGAGGCGACCTCAGAGGTGCACAACCGTGAGAGCGATCGGGGTGGGAGCGGAGACGGGGGAGATGGGAGATGGGAGCTCGCGGGGTGGGAGGCCGGCTTGGCACCGAGAGAGCCACCGGGAGGAGGGCGGCCGGACCGGGACGCGGACGCGTCTCGCTGGGAGGACACTCGACCTGCAGGAGGCAGGAGAAGCCCGGTGGAGACGCTTCGGCCCCAGTCCCGCCCCTCGGCAAGGCCCCGCCCCTTCCAGGCCCCGCCCCTCGATCGCGTCCCGCCCCTTCCGGCCGCTCAGGCCCCGCCCGGCTCCGCCCCAGCCCAG